GGACATTATGACCGAGTAGATGCGAACGAACTGATGCGCATGACATTTGAGGAACATTGATGAGAATTGATGTATATCCCAAAAAATGTATCTACCTCTAGACTCTTATCCTATATAAGCCCTATCATTTCAGCGAATTCGCTGTCGTTGCAGCCGTCATTTGGGAAGAGACCTCTTACGAAGAGTGCGAACGATACCATTACTTCGCCGACGTTCCTGTCAAACCGCTGGGCTACGCAGGCAAGAATGCGATTAGCTGGATATCATCGCCCTTGCATAGGTATTCCGCGATGCTGTGAGTCACTCCTCTAGCAACATGAACAGGGTGGCGATTCACATGGGCAGAGATGAGATCCTCTGCGTCTTCCAGACAGCGTGTCCGAGTGGTTAAGGAGGTGGACTCGAAATCCACTAGGCTATGCCTGCGCAGGTTCGAATCCTGCCGCTGTCGTATGTCTGATGGCGTTTGGGTTTTCGAGACATCTGAGCAGCCTCGGCTTCGAATCCTTATAGCGATTCTGATGAACATTAGGAATAAGTAGGTTGCGAACTAACCAAAGCGCATGACATTTGAGGAACATTGATGAGAACTGATGTATATCCCAAAAAATGTATCTACCTCTAGACTCTTTAAGACAGATTAAGACGATTTGTTGTTTTGCATGGCTGGGTGTATTATGTTATCGTGATAATTGACTGTTTCCCAAAAAAAACCTCTAGACTCTTATCCTATATAAGCCCTACCATTTCAGCGGATTCGCTGTCGTTGCAGCCGTCATTCGGGAAGAGACCTCATATGAAGAGTGCGAACGATGTCATTACTTCGCCGACGTTCTTGTCAAAGCGTTGGGCTACGTACGCAAGGATGCGAGCCAGCTAAATATCATCGCCCTTGCAGAGGTACTCCGCGATGCTGTGAGGCACTCCCCTAGCATCATGGACAGGGCGGCGATTCTCATCGGGAGAGATGAGATTTTTCGAAACTTCCAGACAGCGTGTCCGAGTGGTTAAGGAGATGGACTTGAAATCCATTAAGCTCTGCCTGCGCAGGTTCGAATCCTGCCGCTGTCGTATGTCTGATGGCGTATGGGTTTTCAAGACATCTGAGCAGTCTCGCTCTCGAATCCTCATAGCGACTCCGATGGACATTATGAGCGAGTAGAATGCGAACGAACTGATGCGCATGACATTTGAGGAACATTGATGAGAATTGATGTATATCCTAAGAAATGTATCTACCTCTAGACTCTTATCCTATATAAGCCCTACCATTTCAGCAAATTCGCTGTCGTTGCAGCCATCATTTGGGAAGAGACCTCTTACGAAGAGTGCGAACGATACCATTACCTCGCCGACGTTCCTGTCAAACCGCTGGGCTACGCAGGCAAGAATGCGATTCAGCTAAATATCATCGCCCTTGCATAGGTACTCCGCGATGCTGTGAGTCACTCCTCTAGCAACATGAACAGGGTGGCGATTCACATGGGCAGAGATGAGATCCTCTGCGTCTTCCAGACAGCGTGTCCGAGTGGTTAAGGAGGTGGACTCGAAATCCACTAGGCTATGCCTGCGCAGGTTCGAATCCTGCCGCTGTCGTATGTCTGATGCCGTTTGGGTTTTCAAGACATCTGAGCAGCCTCGCCTTCGAATCCTTATAGCGATTCTGATGAACATTAGGAATAAGTAGGTTGCGAATTAACCAAAGCGCATGACATTTGAGGAACATTGATGAGAATTGATTTATATCCCAAAAAATGTATCTACCTCTAGACTCTTATCCTATATAAGCCCTACCATTTCAGCGGATTCGCTGTCGTTGCAGCCGTCATTTGGGAAGATACCTCATATGAAGAGTGCGAACGATGTCATTACTTCGCCGACGTTCTTGTCAAAGCGTTGGGCTACGTACGCAAGGATGCGAGTCAGCTAAATATCATTGCCCTTGCAGAGGTACTCCGCGATGCTGTGAGGCACTCCCCTAGCAACATGAACAGGGCGGCGACTCTCATCGGGAGAGATGAGATTTTCCGAAATTTCCAGACAGCGTGTCCGAGTGGTTAAGGAGATGGACTTGAAATCCATTAGGCTCCGCCTGCGCAGGTTCGAATCCTGCCGCTGTCGCACGTTTGACGACGTATAGGTTTTCGAGACATCTGAAAAGCCCCGCCTTCGAATCCTTATAGCGATTCTGATGGACATTATGACCGAGTAGGATGCGAACGAACTGATGCGCATGACATTTGAGGAACATTGATGAGAATTGATGTATATCCCAAAAAATGTATCTACCTCTAGACTCTTTTCCTATATAAGCCCTATCATTTCAGCGAATTCGCTGTCGTTGCAGCCGTCATTTGGGAAGAGACCTCTTACGAAGAGTGCGAACGATACCATTACTTCGCCGACGTTCCTGTCAAACCGCTGGGCTACGCAGGCAAGAATGCGATTCAGCTAGATATCATCGCCCTTGCATAGGTATTCCGCGATGCTGTGAGTCACTCCTCTAGCAACATGAACAGGGTGGCGATTCTCATGGGCAGAGATGAGATCCTCTGCGTCTTCCAGACAGCATGTCCGAGTGGTTAAGTAGATGGACTCGACATTCATTAGGCTCTGCCTGCGCAGGTTCGAATCCTGCCGCTGTCGTATGTCTGATGGCGTATGGGTTTTCGAGACATCTGAGCAGCCTCGGCTTCGAATCCTTATAGCGATTCTGATGAACATTAGGAATAAGTAGGTTGCGAACTAACCAAAGCGCATGACATTTGAGGAACATTGATGAGAACTGATGTATATCCCAAAAAATGTATCTACCTCTAGACTCTTTAAGACAGATTAAGACGATTTGTTGTTTTGCATGGCTGGGTGTATTATGTTATCGTGATAATTGACTGTTTCCCAAAAAAAACCTCTAGACTCTTATCCTATATAACCCCTACCATTTCAGCGGATTCGCTGTCGTCGCAGCTCTCATTGGGGAAGAGACCTCATATGAAGAGTGCGAGAGATGTCATTACTTCGCCGACGTTCTTGTCAAAGCGTTGGGCTACGTACGCAAGGATGCGAGTCAGCTAAATATCATCGCCCTTGCAGAGGTACTCCGCGATGCTGTGAGGCACTCCCCTAGCATCATGCACAGGGCGGCGATTCTCATCGGGAGAGATGAGATTTTTCGAAACTTCCAGACAGCGTGTCCGAGTGGTTAAGGAGATGGACTTGAAATCCATTAAGCTCCGCCTGCGCAGGTTCGAATCCTGCCGCTGTCGTATGTCTGATGGCGTATGGGTTTTCAAGACATCTGAGCAGTCTCGCTCTCGAATCCTCATAGCGACTCCGATGGACATTATGAGCGAGTAGAATGCGAACGAACTGATGCGCATGACATTCGAGGAACATTGATGAGAATTGATGTATATCCTAAGAAATGTATCTACCTCTAGACTCTTATCCTATATAAGCCCTACCATTTCAGCAAATTCGCTGTCGTTGCAGCCATCATTTGGGAAGAGACCTCTTACGAAGAGTGCGAACGATACCATTACCTCGCCGACGTTCCTGTCAAACCGCTGGGCTACGCAGGCAAGAATGCGATTCAGCTAAATATCATCGCCCTTGCATAGGTACTCCGCGATGCTGTGAGTCACTCCTCTAGCAACATGAACAGGGTGGCGATTCACATGGGCAGAGATGAGATCCTCTGCGTCTTCCAGACCGGTGGAATACAATCCGGCAATCGCAACTTTTTGCTAATATTGCAAATTTGCCTAATGCTATAATTCCTGACGGTCTCACTTTTTTGCTCTTTTGTATGTGTTGCTTTCTCGGTTACAAAGTAGCAACCACATTTACAACCTAGCAATTTCTGGTATAGGTTTTAGCAACCAAATGTTGAAAGAAGCAAATTCACAAGTGTTTTCCAGCAAGCCGCTCTCTTTTGCTCCTTGCTGCATTGTATATTCCCCCGGGGTGTTTTACGCGCTGGCACTTTTGCCTAAGTGTGCTTCGCCCGCACGTTTTCGTTATTTTGGCAAGTTGTGCTCATTTGCTGTTTAATATGTTTCGCGTTGTAATTATGTAGTCTGGCACCTTTTCAGGTTGGCTCTTGTGTGATGTTCCTGCATGGAATATACAACCTGGCAGTTGCCGGTATGTTACAACGCTGCGCTACTTTTATGTTTCGGCTATTTGCTCTCTTGTAACTTACGCCCTGCGGGAATATATACTAGCGTTTTGCTCGCTCGCTCAAACTGCGTCTCTGTTAGCGTTATTAGCAAAATTGCCCTTTTGCATTACTCATACGAGCAATATACAATCGAGCAAACATAGTTATAGGATAGCATTTCTCGTTCGATTATGGTATAGCGTCTTATATCCATTTTGGTGCATGTTCATGCCCTGTCCACTTACTATTAGTAAGTTACTAAGTATCGATCAGAGGTGTCACACCTCGTGTCTCACTTAGTACCGAATCAAAGCGTGATAGCACTCTAGTGAGATATATCATTCACTCTGAAGTCAGCGCGAGTTATGATCAATGCTGAATACCAAAAACATGGTACGTACGTATTGACGACTCAACAATACTCAGAAGTTGAATCCTTAAGTGGGCATTAGGTAAGTATTACGGGCAACTTTGACATTCTACACGAGAAACGTTCATTCATGGGCAGTGGCACTCATCAGAGTGCTTTCGTGGAGCTATTATTATGGACTGTGCAGAGGTGTCGAAGGATTGTACAGGGGTAACGCAACACGGACAGAATTACTAAATATGAACTCTACAGCCCCCCGCACACAATATTCACTCCCGGGCACCACTAGAGTGCCTTCGTAGAATTACTTTTAGGGATTGCATGAGAAGCATATTGAGGAACGTGCAAATTTTCCTCTACCAATCACCGAGACAGCTACTTGTAGCAGCTACAACAGGTGAGCACCACTGAGGTGCCTACCTTACTGCGAGTGCGTACATGGTCGCTAGTCTCCAGTGATGGGAGAAACTACTTCGATTCCTCACGCTCGTCCTCTTTCGACCGCTTGTGCTGCAATTCCTTTGCCGCGTGGCTCTCATACTCCTTCACCAATGGAATAGCATTGTTGTTAGGCGAGTTCTTTCGCACTATCTCATCACATCTGGTACCTCGGGAGAACTTGTTCTGCGCCGGAGTAAGCCAACAATGCGGAGTGCTAAGCCAGCCTGCCCCTTTCCTCGATAATTTCGATTTTCGCGGGGGGCATCTTTCTGCAATGACCAGTATTTGCTCAGACTACGGAAGAGCATATTGGTTCGCATGCAATAGGCCACGTAGGGATCAGGATGCGAGTATGAAAGCCACGACATCTCGCATGGGCACCACTGGGGTGCCTGCAATACAGCACTACACTGCAGATGAGTGATCCATGTTGATCCAAATAAGTGATCTCGGATCACTCAGTACGAGTGATTCCGCCCAATACGAACTACCATGTGAGCACAAATCCTCTACTTGCGAACATAATACAGAGCATAGCGAAAGTTTCAATCCACAATCTCAATACCACCAGTATCTCCCCCATCACTACTTCTGACACTACTACGAGTTCTCTCTTTGAGCTTCCTGAGTTGCTCGAGAATCTCTTGCCGGCGCTCCCGGTCCCTTCTGTGACAATGTGCGAACTGCAATGACTATAATGCAATGCTCAACACAATCACCAACAAACCACCAAGGTTCGACTCTCGCGTGCGAAATTTCAATTTCTTCTTCCCATAGTAGAACAGCAAAAATTTGTTCCATTGCGGGGTTGCCCATTCGTCAAGCGGCAAATTGCTCCTCTGAAAAGTAGCAATTTGCTCAATAGTAGGAGCAATTCATTGGTTTGCCCTTTCTTTGAGCAAAATTGCTCAATTTTGTTACATAGTAGCACTTCACATAGCGGCAACTTTTATACATTGTAGCAACTTTCTGAAATATAAACAAGCAAACGATATTCATTCGAGCAGTTTCTGTTATACAAAACGGCAAACTTGCGTATATCTAAAGTGTATTTTGCTATTTTGCTCTTCTGTATATCAGCCATAGCGTTTTTACACACTAGCACAACAGCAAAAGCCGCAGGAAATGTACATTCCAGCTAATTGGCACTTTTTTGCTATTTGCTCCTTTGCTATTTTGTAACTGAGCCCGGGCTATTGGAGACGGCGAACCTGTTGCCAGTGGCGCTGAAGTGCCCCCTCCGCCGTCCGGCATATCGTCAAAGGACACCGCATTTCAAACAACTCCCCCTCGAATGGTTGGAGGGAAATCTCTGAGATCCATCTCTCCAAGTCTTGCGTCGGCCCTACGCGACCTGAGAAAGCAAAAGAGCTACTGGGCGAATACGACCCCAGATATCGGAGAGCTGGTGGACTTACAAGATACATTGAAGAGACTAGATGGAGAAGATCCATCAGCTATGGCCGTCGACGAACTTCTTGCAACTATCTACAACTCTAGAACTCTAGGTCTAGAACTCACACTGAAAGCTTGATTTGTGACCAATTATCGGAGGCCGCGAGCACATGGTGGAATACCACCAGAGAAACCTTGGGTTCCACTGTGCGCTCTATGTTCAGTACCTTCTCAGCAGCTTTAAAGTTTGCGAGATATCGTAAACTGAGACATCGCCAGCGCTAATGGCACTCGTGACCGGGCAATTACCGACGCCGCATCTACGCTATCTACTACGGTTGAGGCCATCCCCCAGTTGTCCATGTGGTAATCCAGACGGCTGCACGCTCCATCTAGTGGAAAACTGCGTACTTTTGAATGATGCCAGAAGAGCGGCGGGGATAAGGCCGTCAGGTATTCAAGTAGATAAGTTAGTCGCTGACGGTAAGTGTAGGAAGCGGCTCTTGAAATTGAGCGAGTGCGTTTTGGAGTTTTGCTTGAACCTTAGGAATGCCGAAGATGAATACGTTGCTTCCTTTTTGTCTCAGGCCTGTCTTCCTGACGCAAATCATATACTGTGAAGTATGAAGCTTGCAACCACGACATTCTGGACGAACTCAGCCAAGCCGTGCTTCAAGAGAGCGGGAGGGTCTTGTGGCGGCATCGTAGTTGATGGTGAATTCCTTAACCTTCGCACTGTAGTATAGCTAATACTACGTACCATTGTTCCGCCCGTGTCTCTGCGGGCTCTGTTTACTTGGTTGACTGGTTAAGGTTGATGAACGTTTCACTTGTGACTCGTATAATCTACCATGTCATACGTGCATAATTCTGTTTCCACAAAAAAATCTCTCCCTGGAGATTATCAACAGAGTTGTGTTGGTATGTACGGTAACGAAGAAGTTGACTATGGTAACGATAACGGTCAAACATCGGACACTCATCTCTTTCAGATTCCTGATCGTCGAACTACCGAAGTTACAACATTTTCTCGTTTTGGACTAACAAAATCTTTTATCAAAATCAAAAAAGTTTTCTCCACATGTTCTTAGCATACACGTGTTAAAATTGCGCCTCCAGGGTAATTTACCATCATATTTCCCATGGAGGCGGCCGTCGGCAGCAACATCGTTATTCATAGGGGAAGGATCCCATTTTCGCAAGCAATCGTCCAGTAAAATGAACAAGTAGCATAAAAGCATTAATAGCGCAATACAGTTGTGTTG